TGCCCCTTTATGATCCTTTGGCCATGATTAATGATTGAAATCCAAGAACCGATGATATCTCAACAAAAACAAGGAGATGCAATAGCTCAATGGCAACTATTTTCCCAAGATATTTGTTCCTTGTAGTGAAAATTTTGGGTTTAAAGATTTTGCTTTTGGATCTTGTAACCATAGGATGGGTATTGGTTGGTTTGAACCATGCATGCTTAGAAACTTAGAAACATGTACTTTAGAATGATATTTGGGTATGGGGTTAAATGATTCCTCCCAAAATTTCCAATATGATTTATATTATACCAAGGTTTGTGTCTTTTTTAAATGTCACTTAACGGCTGGTTAACGATATATACCAGATTGATATGTTTTAAAAGTTCAAACACTAAATTATTGCATTTTAAAGTTTGGGGACCGAAGTGACACTAAGCCCAAAGTATACGGTATTAATCGGGAATTCCCCGCCCCACCCTCCCCCCTCCCAAAAAAAAAACCCACCATTTGGGGTTGTGATTATCCACACCGAATGCAAACATGTTCTTTCTATGGAGTTGAAAAAAAAAAGATTAAAAATGATTTTTAAAATAAAAGCTAAAAAGATTAAAATGCCAAATAAAAAAAAAATTGTTGTTTTAGGGTGAAAAAGCTCATCAATACTTATTGTAATTGCGACAAAGAATATTACTTGGAAACTGACATTACACATAAAGTACTTGTTGATAACCATATTTGGCCTAGTCAGTAGTCAATGTTTGATGAGGTCGGACCCACACAGTCGTTGTACATGAGACATGCGCCTAGTGGTTGAGATGCTCATATGGCGTGCACATTTCCCTTTTGTGGAGACATTGATTTTTTGAGCTCAAATTCAATACTAAGCTCAAGAGAATTGATAACCAATGTTGTCACACTCACACTCACACTCAACCAAACATAAAAGAAAGAAAATGCACACTAGGTCTGACCGGTTAGACCATTCTAACTTGTAAAAACCAATGTTTGAAACAAACGTTGAATAATTTGTTTTTACGGCTAAGTTTGGAAGAAGTACAAATGAAAATATATATAGTATAAATATAAATAAAATAACAAATTCAAGGTGTAAAAGTACACCGATGACGTTTAATGTGAAAGTGATCGTTGCTTTTTGAAAAATGCAATGGGTGAATAATGTAAAGTTTTACATCGATAAAATTGATATAGTATTTACATTGATAATCGATGTAAAACTTCACGTTTGATAGGTTTTACATCGACTATCGACGTAAAATTCCACTTCATCCAAACATACGCAAAATTGAACCGAATTGGAGTTTTACGTCGATAATGATTACACTCTCTTTCCAAACGCTGACAAAATTGAATCGATGTAAAACTTTACACCATTCTTTATTTACACCGATTCCAAACACAACCTTAAGGATTAATAGGTCAACGGTTCAACCACCGAAGTTGATGGATCAACCTATGGCATTGTGTTAAAAAAACAGTAACTAGTTGAATGCGTCAAATTGATCAACGGTTGAATAAAAATTGTTCAAAGTATTGATACATTCGATTCTCAATAATGTTTCATCGGATGAATACTTTTCTCAAAAATATTTTCAATTCTAAGTTGAAGTTTTTTACTTAAAACATATGTATACCCATTCTCAGAAAAAAAAATGAGAATAGTGTTAACTTTTTCAAATACGTGAGTACCTATCAAAACAACATACCCACTTCAAAAGACATGGGACCCATATTAATAATGTGTTTTGATTCAATTTCCTAATTCAAATAAAAGTTTCATATAAAACTTTCAATGGTGTGTCCTATTCTTTTAGATGAAATAGATAGTCAGATACACATTAAACATAATTTATTTACTTTTTCTAATTAAGTTTAACTAAGAAACTAAAATTAAATATCATATAAATAGTAAATCTCAAACACGTACAAAATGATACATGGGTGTAGTTGCCATGTACTTAATATAGAGGCCATTCATTAGTATTTATATTAAATGGGTAAATTGTAGATTGGTACCCTATACCTTGAAGGGTGGCCTCACTTTCGAGCTTGAACCTTTAAATGTAGCACTTTAGTATTTCAATTTACATAAATGTGCATTTAAGCACAATTCCATTAAACAAATGTTACTGAGGGGCAAAATTACAAAAGTGCCCATATTATGATTCTCATTTTCCACAATTCATCTTTCTTCTAACTTTGGCACTTCAGACACAAACTAACAATGGCAAAGTAAGCATCTAAAGATGTGAGACTACCCCCTATGAACAGATTAGGATGAAGTTATTTTGCCGTTGCTAGTTTGCATCTGAAGTGCAAAGGTGGGGGAAAGATGAACAGTAAAAAATGAGAGTTAGGACATGGACGTTTTTGTAATTTTACCCATAACTGTAATGTCAGTTTAATGGAGTTGGAATTATACGTATATTTCTGAAAATTCGAATACTAAAGTAACACATTTGAAACTTCAAGCCCTAAAGTGAGACTACCCCCAAAGTATAGTGTACCTTTATGTACTTTATTCATATTAAAACAAAGCCCTTACACTAGAAAACTTTTCCTTCACACAAGTGGCATTTTATTTTCTCAAGAAACAACATCTAAGAAACGGATTGCTCCTACTCTAAAAAGATGTGGGACCTATACTAATGTATTTGATTCAATTTTGTAGTTCAAATAAAAGATTCATTACAAAGATTTCCATTGGTGTGTCCCATTCTTTTAGATGAAATGAATTATCAATTACGAATTAAAAGCTCATTTACTTTTTTAGATAAGAACTCAAATTAAATGTACCATATAAATAATAAATCTCAAACACAAAATGATATATAAGTGTAATTGCTCTATATTTAGTACAAGGTCCCATTCTATGAATTAAAGGAAAGTCCTAAGATTAGAGAGTTTATCTTTCACACACRTGGCATTCTATTTTTTTAAGAAACATTATTAAGAAATGGGTATTCTCTATTCTCAAATAGAAGCTTTCTTCTTCAAACAACTGTCTATCCACCTTGAAAAAAAGTGAAATTTGTTAATTTCACTCTTAGAAAAAAGGTTCTAATTTTAGATACATGGCTACTTACATAAAAAAAATCCACTCTAAACTAACCTTGGACATATGGCTACCCATAAAAAGTGCCCACTCTAAAAAGTGCAAAACCCATATTAATCTTTGTAACTTAATTTCCTAATTGAAACAAAAGACCTTTAAATTATAAATTAAACCTGATTTAATTATTTTAATTTAATAATAAATTCAAATTAGATATAATTACCAAATAAATAGTGAATTTCAAACAAAATAATATTATTACAAAAAAAAAATAAAAACATAAACAAGCAAAATGATATATATATATATATAGATATAGATATAGATATAGATATAGATGTGTGTGTGTGTAGTTGCCCCATACTTGATAATTTGAACCTTGAGTTCAACAATCTAGGTTAATGAATCATTGGTTAAGACAAGTCGATGGGCTTTTGTAGGTGGCATTTAGCAAGTCTTTCCATGTGGTCTTTTGAGATTTGACAGGCTTGGAAGACTAAAAATTGATCATTTTCTGTTTGATAACCAAAAGCTAGTAAGACCAAAAGACGTGTGCACAAAAAGATGCAAAAGACCAAAAACATTGAATTTTTGAAAGTTTTAAATGGAAGCTTTCTGGCCTTTCCAGGTGATAAATAGCCTCTAAACATGTTTTTAAAAGCTTGGTAGACCGAGCCACTTTCCAAACAGTATTAGCCTTTAAAATCAAGACTCCAAAAAGCTCAATACATCTTTTAGCCATATTGACTATTAGAAGAACTTTTTAAAAAGACTTGCCAAACAATACTGTAATATAGAGGGTGTTTGGTTCTATGGGTGTTTATTCAATAAACACCACCACATAGGCGCCACTTCAGCAGTTCCCCTCCCTTGCTCTTATGTACGCATTGAGAATGGCAAAAGTGGACTTCGGTTTTTGTACACGCTTATCGTTTGGGGAAATTATCTTTTAAAGCTTTCACAAACGGTTAGTGGTCCCTAATGGCGCCTAGTTGTCATAAACAGTTGTAATTATTACCTTTCTTGGTTTTGCAAGCAAATAAAGTACAAACGTTGAATGAAAAACATAAACAAAACCAAACACATACATAATGAATTCGAGGTTGACCCAAAGGTCATCGGTCTGGCCAGCCTAGCCCACTAACCAAGAGTTGGAAAGCTAGGTAGGCCATCAGGTCACTGGTTCAACCATCTGGTGCAATCGAAGTCTAATAAAGCTATTATTGTGCCAATGGGTTGAGTGCCCGTTCAGGTCTCATTTGGGAGGATTGGAGGTTTAAACTGAACTGCTTTCATTAAGTCACTTTCGAGAAGCCACTAAACAAACTTCATGGGAAAGCCAATTTTTAGGATGAATCGCATCATGTTTAAGCTAGCTTTTGGGTGTTTCACCAGGGCCCACTTTTGTAAAGCCACAAAAGCTGCTTTGTGAAAGCCCTCCCAAATGGACTCTCAATTAAAAGCTTAAGCCCTCCCAAACAGACCCTAAACCTTGCAAGAAGCCAAGAAGAAGGGCTTCATGGAATCATGCTACAGCTGAAGTGGCTGAAAGCCATTCAATTCAACCACTTCAGCTGTTATGAAACGGCCCCGGAGTGTTGGGCGCTGCACCCTTCATCTGCTTCCGGGTTGCTCTCCCTTCCGCTCTTTTTTTTCAAACCTAAAAATTGGGTCCCTCTGAACTAAACAAAGCCTAAAATTAGAATATGGTTATCAAAATAGAGCTAAGATTAGTAGCTGATAATTATAGAAACCACTCATGGATCAAAGGCGGAGGCCATAAGGACATTATTGTCATTGTAACAAATTCAGTTATTCCAAAAATTGGGGAAATTATTATATATTAAAAGCGCCAGTTTCATAAAAGGAAAGGATAAATTAGTAACTTCACAATTTTATATTTGAGAAAGTGAATTCCCCGGATAGGTCGAGCATTCGATGCCCTTGATGCCTCCGCCCATATAAAACCCTAATTGTCCGGAGAGGAGACAGGCTGAGCCAGCGATTTGGTCTTCTCTCGCTCTGGTTTTTTTGTAGATCTCTCTCCCCGACTCCCCCCCTCTCTCTTTCCCCCTGTTTGATCACCTCTGCTCTTCAATCTCGAAACCGAAACCGAAACCATGGCGGATCAGCTCACAGACGATCAGATCTCCGAGTTCAAGGAGGCTTTCAGCTTGTTCGACAAGGATGGAGACGGTCAGATTCCTTCTATCTCCGCTGTTTCTTTTTTTTTTTTTTTTTTATTTTCCCTTCTCTTGATTCCTGCGGATGTTCTTTTACCGGTTTCGTGTTTTGCTCGGATGATTTGGACTGCTGGTTGGTTTTATCAGATCTGGGTGTCGGATTCGCAACCCCTGAATGTCCACAGGGTTCCTTTGCTCTTCATGGGTTTTGGGATTAACTGGGTTTTTTTCGTTCTTTTCTTGTTTTGCTGTGTTTTGAATTACTTTTGCTGATCCTGAAATGTTTCTGGAAGGAATTATTCGGATCAATTTGTTTGTATTCGTTTTTCCTGATCATGCTGACTGATTCTACTATGCCTTTGAATAATGTCGGAGTCTGGATCGCGATCAGATGCATCCCTTGATTTTGGTGGTGGTTCTATTTCTTCCCTGCTGTTATTATATGGTTGCCCTTAGTTCAGACTTGTTTGATTATTTTGAATTAAGTATCTTGCTGGATTGCCCTTTTTCTTTCTTTGATTCCATGAGGATTTCGATGCTTTGATTTGTTTTGTCAAAGCATGATTAAGTAATTCAGCTCTAACCTTTATTGTTTTCTGAAGTGAGACTCGTTGAAGGGTTATCTTCACATGCCAGCGTATCTGAAAAAAGAAAACAACCTCGTGGTTGAGGTTGGCTTTTGGTGCCCACCTGTGCATTTGCTTCCCTGGAAAGTGGAAAGCACGCTAACAGGGTGACCCGCATTAAGCAGAACTGTTACCAAGTTCTGCATGAATTGGAAGCCTACTACCTGGAAAAGGATGCTCGTTAGACTGTTTATTTTCATAATGGGTTAGGATCCAATTTTATGCTCCTGCCAGCTGTTTGCTATTCAGCCTAAATGATCCAGTGCCATCTTGTCATGTCTGAATTGGTTTGGTTGTTGTGCTAACGGTGCCCCTTTAGATTCGTCTTATGAGATCATTATGTTTAGCTATGGGGGTTAATCTGGATGTTCGGTCTAGCAAGTCAGAATGCTTGCTATTTATCTTATCTTGTTTCCGTGTCTTGTGTCATTCTTGTCACAAGCTTCGAAATTGGCATGGCAGCTTGGTTCATGCTTTGTAATATTTGCAGTTGCATCTCATTCTGTTTCTAATTGTGCTGGGATTTTGTGCACATGCACCCATATTGTGCAAGGACAGAGGATGATTTGGAAAATTTAATTTATATATACCCACATTGCTGGAGTAGCAGAGATCAATTCTTGGTAGCTGATTCCAAATGGTTTGGGCGTTGGGTATGCATATTGTTTGTTGAGAGGTTCTGGTGGAGTATGGTAGTAGCCCAGATTAAACCCTTCTGCCATGCAGAGGAATGGGGTAGAAAATTCTAACCATTCACAAGCTATGCCATCATTTAGCTTTGATAATGTGTTTAATCCCTTGTTCATCTTTAATGGTAACTGGATTATATACCCAGTAGCAGCGAGTTCTCATTTTTAATTTTCCCCTAGATAAATCCCCCAAATGGAGATTCTGTTTGCATTTAATTATATCTGCTATGTTGCTTGCTTCAAATGTGCATATGGTGGTTGTGCACTCTTATGTTGAAGGGATGGGTGATCTTGCCAATTGAATGTCTAATAAAATCGTATGTTGCAGGTTGCATTACCACCAAGGAATTGGGGACAGTGATGCGATCACTTGGGCAGAACCCAACAGAGGCAGAGCTCCAGGACATGATCAACGAGGTCGATGCTGATGGAAATGGAACCATCGACTTCCCTGAGTTCCTCAACCTCATGGCCCGGAAGATGAAGGACACCGACTCTGAGGAGGAGCTCAAGGAGGCTTTCAGGGTGTTCGACAAGGACCAGAATGGTTTCATTTCTGCAGCTGAGCTCCGCCATGTCATGACCAACCTTGGTGAAAAGCTCACAGACGAGGAGGTTGACGAGATGATTCGCGAGGCCGATGTCGACGGTGATGGACAGATCAACTACGAGGAGTTTGTGAAGGTCATGATGGCCAAGTGAGGACCTTCGCCACCATAACCATAAGAAAGAAAATTGAAAAAAAAAAACAAAAAAAGGGGAACCGAGAAGATAAGTATAATGCGATAACTATTTTCCTTTTAGAAATAGTTCTAGAAAGGAAAAAATACCAGAGGACGATGGGTGCTAGCTTCTGCGGTTCAGTGTTGGTTTTCTCTCACTCCCTCTGCTTATCTCAGTTGTGTAATTGTGCTTTTCTTTTTTTTTTTTTTCTCATCTCGGCTTGTTTTCTTTCTCACTCCTGTTCCTAGTAGTTTGAATTCTTAGTTTTTCATCTTGTTTGAACTGCGAACCTGGAAACATTGGGTTTGTCCGATATTCTCTCTCATTTTGGTTGACTGAAATTTTATTACAAACCTATTTTTTTACTATCGTCTTAATTGTCTGTGTAATCGTAGAGCTCAGGGCCCTCGTTTCTTTGCTTCTCTCTATAAACAAACAAAAACTCTAATTAGCGATTCTATTCCGTCTTGCCTTTGCTTGGTTCGAAGGGTACGATTTGATTGTACGAAGGCCGTACGCAAAATAAACTTAGCGCCTAACCGATAAACTAAACTTTTTAAGTAGTTAGATTACCGAACGTACGACTCCTCGTGTTCCCCTTACCCTTACATGACTTTGTGGGAAGGTGTGCCGGAATGGGACTTGTTTGGGCCACTGGTATTAATTTTGCCGAGCGGAACTAGTCTGATGGTCAAAAAACAAACGGTAAATAGCAACGCGATGTTTCTCGTAGGAGTAGTGAGGGAGTTGAGTTATAGAGATGTGCTCTCACCGTCGTCTTATTTTGGACTAGTGTGATACAAGAACAAATAAAAGGTGCTTTCTTTTTTTTTTTTTCTTTTCTAATATGAAATGGGAAAGGATAGATAGATAGATAGATACGAGGGAGGGAATGGTTTCTGTACATATTTATTTTGTTACGTGGCACACACTAGTACTTAGGAAGTTGGAACCTTGTAAAGAAAATTTGGGAGAATATATCCTTGTCGAATCTATCTGAGTTTTGGCTTTCAATCTGCCTTGTATCCACGCGGGCTGGGACGGGTGTGGGTTAAAACTTAAAACTTTAAAAGGTACTGAGCAAGGAAAAGATGCCTATTTCATTTGGGTGGGCGTGGGCCATTTATGATAAATAAATATAAAAAGGGATCTGATACTGAAACGTGATAATGGAAAGAGGTAATGAGACCCAATATTGTGATTCCAACTCCTTTTTTGCCACATTGGACACCAACCACTGCACTGACCACTCCAGAGGTATCTGATGCGTGGTTTGGGGGGTTTTTAGCTAATGACCTTTTCTATGCAGACGAAGGAAACGAAGGATCGAGGAGAAGAGAGGATCTGGATCGTCGCCAAAGAAGCTCCGGAAGAGAGACAAAATCCAGTCAGTCTGTGTGCTGCTTTAATTAAAGTATGGCTTTTATCTTTTTTGACTGTAATGTGCACCCACCCTTCCAAGTATGTTGAGATGGGAAATAAAAAATAATGGTAGTAGTAGTACTAGTAGTTAATGATAATTATAAATAATGGTAGCAATTGGTTGTTAACTGGAATTTAACACTGCTAAGTGCTAAGGACGTCCAAGTTTGTAACTTCGGGTAACCCGAGAATAAGAAGAGTTTGGATTGCTTGCTTTTGTCACATTCTTTTAAATGAAAAAGGTATTATTATATTATGTGCAAGAATTTTTTGACGTGATGAAGTGCAACCTCCGCAAATCAATCTTAGTATTATTCATTGGACTTCGTTTTTTTCTAATTTAAATTATAAGCTAGCTCCATACGAAATGATTCTATTGCACCTGGCGTCAAAACAAAACTAATAATGATAAATGAACCGGACTCCGGAAGACCCAATAAGTCTCAAGAAGAGAACCATCAATCCTGCGAATCTAATTCTGAGTTATTTGTTTTGATGGCTGATCTGCACCTTGGATGCAAACAACACTGCAAGGGACGACGACTGGGTTTAAAAGAAAATGAGCAACTCCTAACTGCAACATGAACTGCTTGAACTGCTTTTGCTTTCACGACAGCCATATCTTACACAACAGTGTCTTCCAAAATGAAGGAAAAGAAAATGTCAATATATATATATATATATAGCACATAGAACAAGGTTAATGTTATAACATAATCTAATCATCCATCATCATTTTCCCATTTTGAGAACAATCTCCCCCCTTCTGGTTCCAACTTTGTTTTTCCATGTTATTTCTGTTACCGTCCATATCCCCTCCCCCCTCCTCAAAGGATATAAAATGTCAGCAGCCACAACGAAGTTCTGTAGAGATGTTTTACTCTTTTCTTTTTCCCTTGCATTCCTCCTATAATCTCTTCAAGCTTTTCTTTCTTGCATCCATCTTCTTCTTGTCCGCCTGGACTTTTACCACTCCAGATTCCTTCTTCTGTACTCCTGCTGTTGATCCACCTACAGCAGTAGTTCCATTTGTCTCTGAAGCACCAACTGTTTGCTGATCCTGTAAGTTTGTTGTTACCCCTTTGATGGCTGCCGTAGAAGAAGGCAACGAGGGAGACAGTGACACTGTAGTAGTGCTGGATACTGCGCTCTTTTGGTCAATGTTCATTGTTGTGTTTGTTTGGTCAACATTCAAGGCTGTTGTGGACTCAGAGATGGCTCCTGTCTTGGATTTGAGTTTTGGTTTGATTGCGTGAATTCCAGTGTAGAGCCTGGTAACAGAGACAACTTTTTCATCAATACCTATTTGTTGTACAGATCTGAAAGAAATAAATTCATACTTGAAGAAGAATGGTTTCCAGTTCCCCGTGGGACCAGGAACCACCACTCTCATGAAGCTTCAGGAAAACTATATGGTTGTTTTCATTGGAAAGTCCAAAAGGGGCCAGTTGGATAATCTATGCCTTAGTGCAATATAAGCCAATTGGGTGAATAATTGACTCTATATATCTATTTGACATTTAGCAGTCCTAAAAAGGTGCTGACTAACTGATGGGTCCTAGTATGCATATGGCTGTTTTCATTGGACTTAACCCAATTAGAAAATCACAGACCAAACCAGTAATACAGTTTGGTTTATAATACGGTTTGGGCCATTCCATTGGACTTAAACCCAATTAGAAAGCCCAAATAGCATACATACCTGCATAATTAATATATAATTCGGTTTATGGTTTGGTCTGGTTTCTGAAATTCAGAAAACCGAACCAAAATCATAAGCTGAAATATAATTTTCCCAAACCAAAACCAGACCATTCTTAAGTCCAGAACAGACCAAACCACCAATTTCAGTTTGGTTTGGTCCGGTTTGGCAGTCTGGACCATATATCCTACTCTTAAAGGCAGGGTCTGCCCTGGGAACCAGAAAAATGTACCACATGCATTTCCCATGTGAATTATAGATCAGTTACCTGGCATGCCGGGCATACTCCTCATAATTTTCAAGTAGCATCTTGCCAGCCTGTTCATTCAGGGCTGATTCTGGAAATGGTTCTATCAGTAGACACCTGACCACCTGTTTATCGTTAACAATGACATCAAACTCAGACAAAATGAGTCAACAGTTGTTCATGAAACCGATCAGCATTGGAACTCAACCGTTTAGGAACTTGAAAAGATTAAAAAAGGGAATGGCTAGTACTAAAAGGTTTATGCTAGGGGGATGACTTATTTTGAAACTCTGACCCAGATGTGCACAGTGCACAGGAAGAACTGGTACTACAAGGGAGAAACATATAAAAAATGTAGCTTACAAGGAGAACATGTCGCAATCCAAGACTTGGATTCCAATCCTTTTTCAGTGTGTTGACACAAATCTCACCATTGGTCGCAATATTTGGATGGAATATTTTTGTCAGAAAATAACCTGCAGAATAACAATTTGGAAATCTGAACTCATATCTTGTGCATAATGTACTAAACCAAAACAAGCATCATGCAGGAAATTGAAGCCACCATTTCTTCCTTGTGGAAGTTCAACCTATATTGTAGTTAAACAAACAAATTCGAGTGAAAACAGCAGAGACCATACCCTTGGATCATGCTGATCAAAGACATTACTGGAAACAAGATGAAGAGACACTGGATATACCTTTGGGAGGGGAGTGTGGGAAATCATGAGATAAAATCAGCTTCATGCGGAAAATACCATTTTCGTATGGAGTCCCAGCTACAAAGGTTAATGCACACCTCAGTAAAACTACATAGTATTTTAAACTATATGGCTTGAAACGAAAAAAAAACAATGACAGCCCTACATACCTGGACCTTCAATATCAGCAAATATGGTTGAAAAGTCATCATCGTTTACACCTACCTTGATGCCCTCAGGTGGGGTTTCATCAAGATTCTTCAACTCCTTTGCAAGTTGCTTTATTACGTTAGGAGGAAGATTTTCATTAGTTGCCTGCCACAATAAAAAACGAATGGAAGAAAAAAGACACATTTTGATATCAGCAATAAAATATATCCTCAGGGACAAAGGCCACACTTATAACCAGACATGGTTCATATTCTTAGGCTCTATTGACTGTTTACAAATGTGCAAGATCAAACAGAGATAGAATATACCATAATGAAAAAATTAGGGGGAGTTGAAAGATCTCTCTATTCCCTGTATGGATGAGCACTTGGAACTACCACAAGTATAACAGAATCTTCTTTTAACTTTCCTGAGAATTTGGTTGTAAACACTGGAAACAAACTGCTTTAATACCAGAATGGCCTGCAAAATGTTCAAATAAGCATTCATTTAAACATTTCATGGATGATTGCAGCTGTTAATGAATCTATTCAGTCATACATGATGCAGGTGCAGGTAAAAGATTGCATTTACTTATTGTTGAGAAGGTCAAACTGGATTATGCTGAAAACCAAACATTGCATTTTCTTTTTTAAGGCTAACATATGAAAATTGCATCTAGGACTGATAGAGATGGTTAGGTGCATCTAATGCATGAGCTGGACATACATACCCAAGGGGTAGGGAGAAGAGATTTTCTATCACATACAAACATGCAGTTGACATTTGCTGTTTTACAAGTTCCTAGAAGCACAAGTTCAGTTGTTAAAAAGACAAATAGTGTTTCCTTGGATCAAAAAAAGAAAAACAGCAGCAAAAGGCTTCCAAACATGGTTTTGAAAGACTTAAGCCATGATGCATATATGCCTTGAGGCGAGGTGCTCAGGTTTAGGCTTAAGCCTCATAATTTTGAATGAGGCTTAGGCCCTTGTCAGAAGAGGCATATGCCTCTAGCCTCAAGGTGTGAGGTGTGATAAGCCTCAAGAACCAATGCCTATTGAGTATATGAGAGGGCCACTTGAGTAATCATGGGCCAAATAAAGAAGGATAAAATTAAAAACCTATAGGGAAAATCAAGTTCTTAATTTCTATTAATGTTTTAAGGGAGTTCAATGCAAGAAGGGCCAAGAAGAACTTTTGGTAACCCATAAATCTAGCACCCCAAGTTTGTTATTTTTCTCATTTCTCTTCCTAGTGGATTTATTTATTTATTTTTTGTATGGATCAAATATATGGATGACCAGAAATCTTCAATTTATATGGATAAATCATCATATGATCCAATTAGTGAAAACAATTTTGAAGATTATTAGCTCATCTAAAAACATTATGACTGGTCACTTGAATAATTTGAGGACTTTGAATTTTGAAATTTGAAATATAAAAAGTCTTATATTATTAGCTAATTAGTTATTATTTTGTTGAACACTAAAAGCCTAGAATTTATTGCTTACGAACTCATATTTTATGGATATTTGTACTTTCTATCATTTATATAAACTCAATAAATCAACTTTTATTTTTAAACTTTATTTATTTTTCTTAATTTTTGATGAAAACAATTTTGAAGATTATTAGCTCATCTAAAAACATTATGACAGGTCACTTGAATAATTTGAGGACTTTGAATTTTGAAATTTGAAATTGAAATTTGAAATCATCAATTTATATGGATAAATCATCATATGATCCAATTAGTGAAAACAATTTTGAAGATTATTAGCTCATCTAAAAACATTATGACAGGTCACTTGAATAATTTGAGGACTTTGAATTTTGAAATTTGAAATATAAAAAGTCTTATATTATTAGCTAATTAGTTATTATTTTGTTGAACACTAAAAGCCTAGAATTTATTGCTTACGAACTCATATTTTATGGATATTTGTACTTTCTATCATTTATATAAACTCAATAAATCAACTTTTTTTTTAAACTTTTTTTTTTCTTAATTTTTGAGTCTTACACCTCACCTTTTAGGATGCCATTATGCCCCAATTACGACTGTAGCCTTTTAAAACCTTGCTTCCAAAAACTTAGATAAAAAAATCATCTAAGCTGCATGCTTAATTCATACAGTTCAGATGATGGAAAAACTGAGTAAACTAAATTCTTCTTCCAAAGGTCCGAATTTCCAAGGAAAGATGGAAAAAATTTAGGAATTCAAGAGCATTCCCTAAAGATCCTAAAAATATTGTGAGGTTTTGGAAGAATGGTCATCATATCAGAAAATGGATGCCACAATCCCAGAATACTGGAAAAAGGCTTCAGTGAATATGAAAGTCAAACACAATGCGCAGTTAAATACACACAAAGACCTACTAGACTAAGCATACTGATCCAACATGTTGTCAACCGCATATCAGTTTGTTCTAGATACAAACATTGAATATTAAAGAGCACAACAACAACAAACAACTGGATTAACATTAAGAAAACATAAGAAAGCACATAAATAAAAATGTTGCTCCAGAGCATTCTAGGACATCCAGACAAATTAATTGTCATAAAGAATAGTTCAAAACACTCAATCATCAAAATGAATCAAGAAAGTCATATCAGAAGTCTTCAATAAAAGATGAAGGGCATAGAGTACAAAGGCAACAATATCAAGATAAAATTTTCACTCCAAAAGTACAAAGGCAACAATAAAAGATGAAGGGCATAGAGTAAAGTCAAGTAAGAGAATCAGAAACCAACGTCGATCCATTATTACTGGTAGGTAATCAGTACAAATTCATTTTAATGAGCTAAAAATATCAATACCTATTATTTTGTCAAGAGATAATCCAATCAAATCAGCAACATTGACTACACAAGTAAGAATAGATATCAAATCAACGAAAACAGATCAAACTGTTTTTTTTTTTGTTCACTTAATCGTTCTTCAGAACAAGCACAACATTAAACAAGACCAGATCTTTCCAAACCAAACAAGAGCACGACACCTCTTTTATTTCTAATCCAGAAACTATCAACCAAGTCCGAAAAATCTTACATCAAGGAATGCAAAAAAAAAATTGCATGCTAAGTTTGATCTTTTTCATCACAAAAACATTAAAATAGAAGAAAATCACTAAAAGATCGCGGTTAATAAAAATAAAATATTCTAAAAAATTAAACCCTAAATCCCCCTTCAGAAACAAAGAATCTACAACTCAAGAAGATAAAAGAGAAGAATCTAAACCCAAGAAAAGCATCATCAATGGAGTGAGGAAGAAGATGAACAAACACCAAACAAATCAACAGAGAAATAGATCGCACATCAAAGACCGTTGTACCCATTAAACCCAGAAAGGTTCTGCATTTGATCTCGAGAGCGAGCGAGAGAGAGAGAGAGAGAGAGAGAGAGAGAGTAGCAAGCGCCAACCTGAACAGGAGAGACGAGTTCGAGATTGAGATTCGTTGTGCTTCTTCTTCGTCGTTGTGATCCAGAAAGAGATCTTGCCTGATTGGCGTTAGATATATATTAAATAAATATTGAATCAAATCAAAATTAAATTTATTTAATCAAGAAAATATATAGAAATTTAGAAACTACTCCTAATTTTGACGTGTATTATAATGTTTCGATAATTATTGTCACTCACGGAAAATATTAAATATCCTTTCTTTTAGCTGGAATGACGAAGCTAGCCCTGTTTTGAAACCAAATCACGGAAGTGGACCTTCCTAACCGTATGTAAATCCTGGTCCAGATATGATTCTTGGACCCTATCTGTGAAATCAATAAAGTGGTGTTTGGTTTTGTTGTCGTTTTTTTTTTTTTTACAATGCAATGGTTTGGAATGGACTGTTTTTTAAATCAGGTCAATGCGTTTTTTTTTCTACTTTTGAAAATGTCTGATGTGATTCCAACATGGTGCTATTTTCCGAGAAAAACCAAACACCTCCTAAATTAGTAAACCGGACCAACTTAACCCATAAAGTAACATGCGCCAACTAATTATGCTGTTTAAACCAGATTGACCCGGACCAGTTCTCTCTTAGTCCATAATAATTCTGACGTTCAGCCAGAAATGTAATAAAAGGGCAATTTCTGTAATTTTAGGGACAGAAGCAAGGATAGTTTGGTCATAGGGAAGGGTAGAGGAGAGAGATGGGAGCAAAGGCAATCTATGAAATAGAATTTAATTAGGTAGGGCTGAGGTCCGGAGTTTTGTCGGGTTGTTGGGTCAGAGATGGAGTGGGGTTCATTTTAACTCAACCAGAGTTTAGAGAGAGAGGTGGGTGGGGGAGTTTTGCCGACGCTGCTTCCTGCTGGTGACCGTTGGAGGCTCGTCAAACTGGCTGTCCCCAGGTAGCCGTTAGCACTGCCAGCTGGCAAGTTAAACGGACGGCCCCGATGTGATCAAGGCCCATTTAGATGAAGATTCCAAATTTTAAAACAGAAACGGAATAAAAGAAACAAGTGAACGTTTGAATTTTGAAATCCCACTTTTATACTGTATGGTAGGCAAGATTATTCACACTAACCTATCTTTCTCTCTCTCTCTTCTATAATTAGGATTATAAAATAAATGCCTATTAAATATTAAAAATGGATTTTTCTTTTATGACCCAACTTTTCTCTCATGGAATTGGAGCTGTTCCTCACAATGTTCCTTACACCGACCTCACGGTTACATCCCACACCGATCTCACGATTACATCCCACCGTGTATTGTGAATATCTCTCCATAAATAATAAATACAAGCATGGAAGATGTTTTGCTGCAAATAGCTTAGGGATTACTTGTTTGTTGATTCTAAGGAAGCATGAGGTTTGTTTTATTAGCTTTTCATTAGGGGTGCAATTTGGATGAGTTTTTTTGGGAATATGGTAAAATTTGAACAAGCACAACCTGATCCAATGCTATATAAATTCTTCAAATTGGGTATCTAACAAGTTTGCATGCCCCACACCGACCTCATAGCACGTTTTGCCCATGCATCTGAACATTTCTGTGCTCGTAAATTTTTATTCATGGAAAAATGTTCAAAATGCATGGTTGAAACATGCTGTGAGGCCAGTGTGAGGCACGCTCTATGAGGAGCCAGATCTGAACTTGGATCTGAACTTGTATCTTACTTGTAAATTGGGACTTGCTTTTAGTAGGGCAATCGGTCCCCACATAGGGAACCTCTTCTCATGAATAAGAAAGGAGATGTTCCTAATGTATGACGAATTGGGATCTGTTCCTGACAGCCACATCCCACCGTGTACTGGGAATATCTCCGATGAATAAAAAAATACAAGTACAAGAAATGTTTCCCATGTATAACAAATACATGTTATGAGGTCGGTGTGAGGAGCGCTAGAACAGATCCGGTCTCATGTGTGACTGGATTGCCATGTTAACTTAAAAGCAAGTTGACACGCTTTTTATGGCATTAAATCCAGGCTTCCGCACCCCTATTTTCATGGAAACCTTATGACTAGCAAAAATTTTGTGTCACAACTCATTATAAATGAAATTAAAGAAGAAGAAAAAAAAGGAAGCTGTGATGTTATAACCTGGAAAGAAACCTGTAATCTTAATGAATGTGATGCTTTCATGCATGGTTTTTAAAAACGAACTAGTGACCGAATCAGTCAGGGGTCCGGTTACCAGTTCAAACGGTCAGTGGTTTGCTGACCAAAATCAATGGTTTTGAGGGAAAAAGCAGTTTTGGAGGAAAACGAATCAGCCTGACCGGTTTCTGATTTTTCTGGTCTGACCATCTGGTCCGATCCGGTTTTAAAAATAGTGCTTTCATGTTCTCTAGTGTTGGTAGATTTATGAGCATCTTTTTTATGGAATGTCTTAATTAATGAATTAATGGATAAAGTGGTATTCTAATGATCTCTTCTTTTTCCTTCTTTTTCTCTTTTGTCTGTTTGTTTGGTTCTTTTATATAAAAAAGGCCATTACTCAATGTTGGTCCTAATTATTTGGTGTTTAAAAAGAATGAATTGTATGATTCAGACAGTTTCTTTTTTGGAAAATGATGATTTAGCCCAGGATCAGAATTTTTAAGTCCAAAATACAATTGAGGTAGGTGTTAATTCGGAATTGATGCCAATTCATGGATAGGCATTGGTGTATAGAATAGAAGTATTTGACATTTTAAATGTTTATAGATCTGCAATGAAATTCAGAAATTTGCATTGAGGCTATCCATACTTTTCCATTTTTTTTGCACAAAGTGATTATTCTTAAATAAACTCGTATTCTCACGCTTAACAGCTCAGAATTTTACCATTACACCAAGTAATGGCCGCTTGATTAATATTAAATCTTGTTCATGAATGAAAAGCTTAAAAAAAAGAAGAAAAAGAAGAACTAAGAAAATAAAACCACGTACATGACTTTCATGCTATGATAGCATCCACTTGACTAAAGGGGAGATTAGAGACAAGGGGAAATTTGAAAATTTAATTTTGATTGAATGGATTTTGACCATTTGTCATTTCGACATTTCCATGAACAGTTGGAAGCAGCAAGGGAAGATCAATTGATATTATATACAGAACAATAATAAAATTTTCACAGGGATTAGCAAGAAAAAAAAAACCGAAGAAATTGAATCGAAAATTCCAGTTAACCGAATTGATCGGATCAATTTCTATTTCTAGTCTTTTTATCATATAATATAATATTTTATATAATATTATGAAAATTAAAAGACTAAAAAACCAATAAATTGATTGGCTTCAATTCGATTTTGGTTATTGGTTTTCTAAAAATTCAATTTGAACAAAAGACCCACAATTAATCGAATCGCGAGCACCCCAACTTCAAATCACAAAAGGCCTGCCGTTTGTGTGAATACCATGGTTTTTATGGTTAACACCATGGTTGGAAAGCCATGTTCTCGACTTGATCTCATATAAGAAATTGATTCAGTTGAATGACAGTGGCAAGCCAACCCACAAGCACTACAGCCACGGATGAACATTTCAATTGTCATTCATGGAGAAATGCTTCCAATGTGTCTTGTAGCAGATCTGAAATCTTAATTACATATGAGTTTATTTTTGATTTATTGTCAAGATGTCAGTCAATTTAATTCAAGGTGGGGCCATATCTATAAATCAAACTCTTTGATTTTATTATTTCAGCCCATTTCTGCGGCAGTGTCGTAGCAAATGTGGTTGTTACCTTAGATATAGGCCGGTCCCCCATACCATTCCCCCAACTTTAACAACCGCAAAAACAGGAATCAATCCCAAGTCACTGTTATAACCAGCCAAAGACCTTACCAAATCAATTGGCGCTTTTGTGAGCCAACCCAAGTTGCTGACTGGAATTTGTTTTCGTTCCAGTGTACTTAATATCTGGACACGTGGAAATGACTTGCTAACTGGATGATGATTCGGTGTTTTCTGCCACTTCAGTGAGTCAAGTTAGTTTGGATGCCTCAGGCACTTTGGCCAAGACCGAGGTCTCGTGATGGCTCGACCTGCTGAGGTGACACGTAACCATTTCTAGAAGCTAGTCAGTTGTCTCCAATCTCTTCGAAATCATGCCACATGTCCGCAAGCCTTATCTTTATTCCGACTAGTTCAGACGGACTCGATAAGCCTTATCAATTCACAAGAAGCCCATCTCTGAGTGCATAACGGATTCCTAGTAGCATGGGCTGGGGATCTCGGAGGTGTTTTATAAAACCTACGGCAACTCACCTATATAAGGGCGCCAACCCCAAGATCACAAGGTATGCACAATTATTTGCTCACTAACTTTCTAACATATAAGTTTTCAGCTTGCATATCAATTACTAACTTAATCATCGGAGCACCCACACTAGATAAACCACTCCGGGTCCTCTAAGCATCCTTATCTCATAATTCAACCGGCCAACTAAACGAACCGACATCTGAACTGCCCTCTAACTAGGAGCATTCAAATCATGCACCATCAAGAGGTGTGACTATAATCACTTCCACTCTAAATGTAGATGCCCCATTCAACGAATTCATTGCTGCAAGAGGACTTTTCCTGTTGTTTGTAAGTTTAGATCAGAGATTCTTCTTATATGACAATGTCTTTGATCTAGTTCATGCAATGAATGGATTCGGTGATGGCGGTTGTTTTTGATGTGTCGCTGCAGCTCCATTAGCATTTGTAGCAGCATACTCATCATATTCAGCTTCCAGGAAAATGACGTTCAACTGCAGTCATTGCCAGTAGTGGAGGGTCATACAAATCCAAAGGAGCAGTCCAGCCACTACTGATATCAATTGTCATTTCTAAAGGCTGAGATCGTTGGGACGTGATGAAAGAGCACAATCTGTATATGTAATGGATTTCCACGCCTTCCTTTCTTCTAAACCGATTCCTTGGGTGCCTTATTTTTTTTCTTCTCCATATTTTTCAGTCTCTTCTTCAATCAACTCGACAATCTTAATGGCTTACGTTTTCTCTCTCCCTGAACCAGACAAAGAGGTGAAGAGTTCTCCTCGTGTCATCTCCCAAATTTCAGAAGAAGGGTTTCGAAGAACTTGAGGTCATCAACGCTTAGGAGTTGATGAAATATTTCGAAGAGGAAATACCCATTTCAGTATATAAGTGAAGAAAAGCCCCAAACCACAAGGCTTTCTACGAAAAGTTGCAGGGATAGATATTAAGATTCCTTCGAAATTCTTCAATGAGATAAGCTCTCCAAAGAAGCAGTAGAAATTCGCAGGGAAGGAGAACAAGCACCGATGGCGACGTAGCAAGGTTAGAGCGGATCCAATGGAGGTATGTTGTCGTTCATTGTGCCAATGGTGATGCAATTCCTATGTGGCCAGGGGTTTTGATGATAGGGAGAAGTACTGACAGGCCTAATGCAGAATTTTGAATTCTGCTGCAAATCTATAGATATTCAAAAGTTCAAAAACCCACACCCTATGCACTTATATTCGTCTGTGAATTGACTTCAATTCTGAACTGGTCAGGGCTTTGATAGTACGGAGAAGTACGGACATGCCTAATGCAGAATTCTGAATTCTGCTACAAATCTATAAACATTCAAAAGTTCAAAAACCTATACCGTACTTTGGGCCTTTGAATTCTGGCCCTGAGCTGAATGATCATTCTCCCTTGATGATATCTGGGTTGGCTCCATACAACTCGACTTTTCCAATCGAGGTGGACTGGATCCTGATTGAGTGGATCCAATGGATGAGACCAAATTAGCCCCCCACAACGTCCCACAGTACATCCCCGTCATGTATTAAGAACATTTCCCGATGATAATATTATAATTCCTGGTATTATCATCGGGAGATATTCCCAATATACAGCGGGGATGTGCTGTGGGATGTTGTGGGGATTGATTTGAACTCCCCATGGAGGTATGCCGTCGTCATTCGTTGCATCAATCGTGATACGATTCCGGTGTGACTAGGGCTTTGATGATAGCTGGGTTGGCGTCGTACAACCTGACTTTTCCAATGGAGGTGGACTGCAACAGTTTTGCTATCGCTGCCGGTGGTGGAAGGTTGTTTCAGCATAGAGGTTCCAACTTCCAACTTGATTATTCGTTCAAGTCGGTGCATCGAACCGAAGCCTTTCAAACCCATTCTAGAATGATGACATGATGCTCATCGTTCCTGAGCTGTTGGAAGATTATCTGATGGTCTCTGGAAATGTCATTGCCATTGGAAGATCTTGGAATCTCATCTCAACTCACTGCTATTAGAAGCTCGGGTTCAGTTTGGTCAGCATAGTTTAAATTCACAACAGCCTTTTTTTTTAAGGTATAAAGAAAAGAATAATATTGAGTTTTAAAAAAAATTATAGGTGGTGATGTCACATATGCACGGATTATGGTGGAATATTAAGGGATGTTAATAATAGGGATAGCACTAGTCAATTGTTAAAAAACTTAGAAATACTCTTAAGTTAATATATAAACAATAAGAGTAAAGTTAGACAATTAACTAAATTATAAATATGAAAATTTTGAACCTGGGTTGTAGCCCCAACTGGGTAATGTTTTTTTGTCTACTAATAATAATTGGAAGTTAACCCCATCTGTCCAAAGGGGAAACTATTGTTAAACAGGGTACTTACTCCTGTCAAAGAACAAACATTTATAATAGTACTGACAACGGAGAAGGTGGAAGTACTTAACAATTATAAGTAATAAAATGTACTCTATTATCATAATCAGAATAGGAATGGCAAGGGAGTGGGGTTGGGGCCAGGTTTTGCATGCCCCGTTATTAACTCCGAATTCAGATACCCTATACCGTCTCTGCCCCGAACCCCATTAGGGTTAGAAATCCCAACCCCATCTCCGTTCCCATAGGAAAGGAGGATCCACAAATTTGTCAAACCCCGCACCAGTTATTTTTACTTGCAAATTTATTTTTTAGTTCTTTGAAAGTTACCTAAAACTATATAATATAATACAATATAATATAATAATTATGAACTTAGGATAGGTTCAGGGCTGAGGCTGGGGCAGGATGGATAAATACCATCCCTGCCCCATCCCTGGTACCCAACCCACCTTGAGCCCTGATCAGTGGTCAAGAAACATGCCCCCAACCGGGGTGGGGACGGGGCATAACCCCAAGTGGACGGATCAAATTGGCATCTTTAAATCAAATGGTCTCTAATTTCAAAATACTCTATCTAAACTCTTTGAAAGAGTACTCCTTTAAATTAGAGAACTTCTGACCATCAGTCAAAATAAGTTTTCTTTTAAGGCTATGTTTGGTTTGAAAGAAAAGGTAGGAAAACCTATACAAAATTTATAAAAATTTCCCTATCAATCTTTCCTTTTCCTACTTTTTTCTTCAAACCAAACACAGCCTAAAGTCCTCATTTTGGATAATAACTTATGCTGATTTTTAATCCCATCGATCTTCAAAGTGGGTGGGGCCTACTGAATGGTAAGTCTTGAACATGGTTATCTAAAGACAGGTAGCAGAACCCCAGATCAACTATTGATCCTTAGGCCTAATTAATCTTCAAGCTGGGACCTATTAATGAATAATCTCGATCATGTTAATCTAAGGTTGAGTTCTTTAGGTTGTATTTGGTGCAATGCAATTTTATTTATATTAATACAAATGCATGGGAGTGCAAATGAAAAAATGTAAATTCTTGTTTAATTTTGTTCTGTTTTTTACTTTATTCTGTTTCATGTTTTAATATATTTTATTTGTATTGAAATCAAACAAAATAAGCTAAAATTTGAAATAGAAACAAGTGGAATTTACACTCAAATCATTTGCACTGTCATGGTTTTGTATTAGTACAAATTTATTTGCATTACAACCAACTACAGCCCTAGGGACTGAAAATGAAGTTGGGTAGATCATTACATCCTTGAAAATTCTTATTATTTAATTATATTAATAACTAAGAAACAAAATAATAACTCTCTTGGTTCAGTAAATTTAGTTATTATCAAACACCCCTATGATACTATAGGCAGATGGCAAGGGTTCTTTTTTTTAGGCTGCGTTTGGAAACGATGCAAATGGAGTGTAACTCCCGGTTCAGGGTAAATTTGCACTCTGATTCATTTCTGCCTATATTTATGCATTGATAAATGAGAGACCAATGCATATTTACATTGATAGTAAGATGTAAAAGTACATCAATAAAAAAAGTAAATTTGCATTCAAGTGGGCTTTTGATAAAAAAGAAAACATATGCATTATTGGAATTCGTGTTTGTATCCATTATAGCTAAAAATCTGTTTGATAAGAAGATAAATTTATCAGTGCAAAATTAATCCAACTTTACAATTTATATGAACCGTTTTACACTCTACAAATTTGCATTAACACTAATTTACATCATTTCCAAACGCAGCCTTAGTATTTAGTGTTTGGTGATATACGAACCACACTCATAACCTTCTCTCCAAAGTCAATGGTTGTAGGAATCGAATCCATGTCTATGCTAGAGTGAACCAGCTAACATGCCAACTGAGCCACCCTTCAGTTGGAAGACAGGTGGCAAGTTATGGAACCCCAGATCAATTATGTGTCCTTAAGCTTTGGCCTAAGGAAAAATGCTGATTTCAGTGTCAACCTCCCACACGTGTACTTACTAAGTTGAAACGATATTGCACGTGCCAGACCAACTACCCAAGGCGGGTAGCTGGAGAGGGAGAGCTTGGAGGTAGGTGAATTAATGTTGCCTTTATAAAAAATCTCTGCTTTTTACATTTGCTCAATCCAAAACAAAGCTTCTCTTGGATTCAGTTTGTAGAGTTAGTGAAGGATGGAAGGTGGACAAGAGAAGAGAATGAAGATACTCTGCCTCCATGGATTCCGGACCAGCGGGAAATTTTTGCAGAAGCAAATCAGCAAATGGGATCCTTCTATCTTCTCTGAATTTGACATGGTAAATCATACATCTTCCCCCTTTGTAGGTTTATTTCATCGATATCCTTGTCAAAGCAAATTCCCAAGATTTGTAATTCCATCCTCGGCGTCTGATGAATAATTTATTTAGTATATAGGTGGCGCTGCGTTTTCCAATGCGAATGGTTTTTTAGTTGTCAGCTCCAAAAATAAATTGAAAACAGATTATTTCTCAAAACAACGACTTAGAAACATGTTCTTGGTTATATATGTCTCTTCTTTTTAAACCGAAACATGTCCTTTAAATCATATAGAATTTGTACATAAGTTCTAAATTATAATCTAATGGATATTATTTTTCCCTTTCTGTTTTTCTTCTTAAATGGGCTTATGCCTAGTCTAGCCCATGTTGATAGGGTATATTATTGGGCTACAGACTCATCCAACCCCATGTTGATAGTCTAGCCCATGTTGAAGAGTGAAAATCTGTTTTTGTTGTAGAAAACATAGTTTTCGTTTTTTCAAAAACATAATTTGTTTTTAAAAGAAAAACCATCTAATTTTCACTTCTCATAACAATAACAAAGTTAGATAACATGTTTTTGTTTTTGTTTTTGTCCTTTACCCTAACAATTTTGAAAACAAGTGAAAAAAAAAACTCTCCATCCAATTTAGCATTTATTTATCAAGTTTACTTCTTATTGTGTGGTGAATAAAAAGAATAACCTTTTCCAACCATGATAGGTCTTCCCTGATGGCATATTTCCAGCAGGAGGTAAATCAGAAATTGAGGGCATCTTCCCACCACCTTATTGCGAGTGGTTCCAGTTCAACCCGGTAAAGGCTTCTTTTTATTTCCATGGTTTAAAGTATCGATATGCTCGATATGTGCGTATAGGCGTATCAGGTATATCAGGTGTTTCGGTGTTTTATAATTGTTTTTTTTTTTCCAAAAATATTTCAGGGGTCGGTTTCAGGCTTGCCTACCCCCTGAAAGTGCCAAAATTCCAAAACACCCCTTATTTAAGCTTTCAGAAAACTAATGATACAATACGATACGCCCCATCGAAATTTTGAACCGTGGGTATTTTTTTCTATTCATGTTCATTTATTCCAATTATTAAGTTTGATTCAATTGTTCAGGATTTTACTGAGTACACCAATCTGGATGAGTGCATCTCCTACCTTTGTGATTTCATAATGAAAAATGGTCCCTTTGATGGACTGCTTGGCTTCTCTCAGGTATGCCTCTTCTACTATTATAATTTATAATCGGACAGTATGGTCCACCCATTATATGATCGGACATTATCATCGTTGAATCATGATAAATAGGTCCAATCAAATTTTCGCAAAAGCTCAACTGACCTGGCTATGTATAAGGCTGTAATAGTATCCAGTTGTCTGAATTCGAATTTAGTTCATTTATAATTAGATCAAATATGGATTCACCTCTATATGATCTGATATAATTCGATTCGATTCAATTTAAATATATATATGTTCATGCATACTTAAGAATGTTGTTGTGTTTTGATTAAATTGATGTAAATTCAAGTATCAAGTAATTTCCAATTCATTTTGTTCATGAAATATAATGTCGAAGTCATTTTTATTTCATTTTGTTAGTAATATATAATATTTTGACCATTTTTAGTTTAATTTATTTATAATATTCAATACTCAATTACAATCCGAATTCGATTTAAATCTGATGGATATGATCTAATTTAAATTTGAATATAAACGAATCAAATTCGGATTTACCAATATCCAATTCGATTTGATCCGTCTGCAACGCTTGTTTGTTATATGAAAAACTTGCTTCTTGCATGTTTTAGTCATTACAGAAAACAATGGACCCTTGATTGAATTTGCTCAGTTTGGTGACTTGACTGACTGGTTCATTCTCAGGGTGCAACACTGTCAGCGCTTCTTTTGGGCTACCAAGCTCAGGTGAGATATCATCATCAATCTATGATTGAGTTTTGCTTTCAAGGGCCTCAGAATGGAATGGTGAAAAGTCTACATGCTTGAGAATCAATATCATCTAATTGACGAGCCAGGGGCCACTTTTTGATTTGGCCATGCTTAAGTCTCAAATGTTGGCCTGTGAGATGATCCTCATTCATTGTCAAATATGCATTGACAGTGGTCTGACTGAGAAGAGAGGTGTCATTTGTAGGTAGACCTGTTCATAAGCCGGGCTTAGGGCCAGACCCATTCAAATTTTGATAAAAGTCAAGCTCGAGCCAAGGGGCCCATTTGATAACAGCCGAAATGGTTAAACTGAATGACTTATCGCTTTGTCTTTTTGTCTTTGGGGGGGTAATCGATCCCCCTCCCTTAGCCCCCCAACCCTGGTGGCAGTGGGGTTTGACCCCAGGTCTCTAATACAAGGAGTGAGAGAACCTACTAACTGAGCCACCATCAGTTGGTGAAGCTGAAGCTGGTTGATTACTATATCTTTGTTTATTTCATTATTCAATTATTTTGTCTATGAAAAGACAAAACAAGTCATTTAATTCAGCCACTTCAGCTATTATCAAATGGTGGTTAAGTCACCTTCGTAAAGAATAGAAGTTTTATTCAGAACTAAACCTGTGAAGAATGATTGTAACAGGGAAAGCTGTTGAAGGAGCATCCCCCCATGAAACTATTTGTATCAATTTCTGGGAGCAAGTTCAGGGATCCAAGCATATGTGATGTCGCTTATAAAGACCCAATCAGGGTGAGATCAGTTCACTTCATAGGAGCCAAGGACTGGTTGAGAGTGCCCTCTGAAGAACTTGCAACTGCCTTTGATAAACCCCTGATCATAAGGCATCTCCAAGGTCACACAGTCCCCAGATTAGGTGGGTAACATGTCCTTCACCTTCCAAAGTTTCCAATGCTTAAATAACTTAGTATATGTTTGGCATCGATGCTGCAGATACTCTCAGAAAATGGTGCTTCTAACTCATACATCAGTAGCACGGTTTTCTGTTTTTTCTTTTTTTCTTTTTTTTTTCTGTTTGGAAACGTTGCTGCCAGGTAGGAAGTTTCCTGGAGCAGTAGCAACACTTTTTGTTTGGTACCACCGTACCAGTGCTCCATATCTGTTTTCAGCACTGGCACCCATTATAGAAAGTCCACGTCACTGTTACATCATGTCCTTATTGGCAGCAACGAACTGCAATCTGAGAAAACATCAAATTTGGCGTTGCTCCAAACCACACCTTCTCCATTTCCAAGATGTGGCTTGAAGCACCATTTTTTATGGAAAAATGATTCCAAACATATTGACATTTCCTGAAGCACCGTTTTTTTTTTCAACGTGGCACTGATGTATCACCATTTTCTGGAGCAACGACATCGATGTCAAACAGACGCATAATCCACTGCATCAATTAGCATCACAACCATGTGACAGCAGGGGTTCAGCCCCTGGGACTTGACAATTGAAGCAAGTGAAATATTCCCAATTTGGAGTCCTTAAACAATAGAAGTTTAAGCTCATTAGTATGACATGAGTCCTTATGACACTGTGGAAACCCTAGTGCTAGGCAATTTATGCTTGAGATAGCACTCACAGAACTCCTCTTTATCATTACATCAATCATGTAGAGAACCCTAGCTCATAATTTACCCTTTGACTGCACCTTAATCACAACTTCACAAGGGTGAATTATGCCCTAGTTCATAATGACCACATTGCCCAAACATGTCCTAAGATTTAATGTGATATGCTACTAGTGTAGTACTGTTTCCCTGAGAGCATATCTTGCTAGTTTTTTCCCTCTCTAAATGCTTAATTTAGTGATTGAGTTAGTGCATCAAAGTCAGGTCCTTCATCAACACTATAGCACTACTGAAATTCTATTGACAAATGATCGACTGACAGATGAAGCGGCCACTGAGCAGTTAAGAGGGTGGACCAGTGAAATCATCCAAGGTATTGATGTTTCAGACAACATACATGGGCTACAACTACAAAATGGGGAAGCAAAGGCTACAGAGAATGGCATGCCAGAAGCAGTTCAAGAAACTGATAAAACTGAGAAAAATCCATCAGACCCCAAAATTGAGAATAAGAAATCTGAGCTAGAAGATGCCCTTGAGAACAAGAAGACTGAGAACGACCTTGTGGAACTGAAGACCAATGAAGAAATCAAGGTAGAAGCATAAGGTGGCTTTGCCATTCCAGAAGGCTATTAGAAATAAAAAAAATAAAAAATAAAAAACAAGGCGGTGTTTATGACTCTACTGTTTGGGTATAATTATAAATCACCTATATGAAGTAATTAGTTAATAATCCTCTAGTGAGAAAGGGGCATTTGTATCCAACTATCTATTTTGTTTAGGATCCACCATCCATTGATGAGTCTTCAAGTTATTTAAGTTGGGTTTTTTGTTTGATTTAGGGGATTGGATAGGCTTTGGTTTGTAATTAAATAACACATTATTATTATTATTATTATTATTATTGTTATTATCTTTTAATGAAAGACAAATTCTATTATCATTTTCTTTTCTCTTTTTCCACTGTGAGCAATCCTGTTCTTCAAACTGTTGAAAACCATCGGGGTTTTAGTAGCCCAGCTCGTTGCCTGCATCATTGCTTTATCATACATGTTGTAAGCAAGGCTGATTCTCATGTGGGCATATGGGCTGATTCACATATATGCTGTTTATGGGCTTTAGTTATTGGGCCCAATAGTGTTTTATGTCTTTAGTTACCGCCCCATTCTGTTTATTCTCTTCTCTTCTTCTCCAAACCTTTCTCATTCTTTCTAGGTCTGAAAACAACTGATATTGTTGTTACTAGATTTTGCAATGGGGTAAATAAGGAATTAGTAGAGTTAGAGTATGGTTGAGGGTCCCATCCACAAGCACAAAAGATGTTGGAGGCCCTGGGTGTGGTCCCATGAGCAAGGACTCTAACGGTTAAGTTAGCCAACGTAATTGGGAAGCTGAGGTGATAAACTAGTGCAAGAGCAAAGGATACCAGTGTTTCCTGGCCTACTTATATGCAGAGAGCTATTGAATAACAGATTGATGAGGCGATGTTAGTAGTCCAGCCCCAATAGTAGAGAGAGGTGGGTCCTAAAGCAGTCGAACTTATTGCACTGAAGGGGCTAAGCCGTCTAAGTTGGAGGGCATCCTTAGGCTTGTAAACGTGGAGAGGATATGCCAATAGTATAATATTTTCGATAGTACATGATTAGGCTCCCTGAGCATCAGCCAGGCCAGGTTGAGACTACCCTTCCACCCCTTAATCTCCAAGGTCATGAACCATTATGGGATCACCATCAGTCAATTGTCCCTAAACGCCATTAGAGACAAGAAGCTCGGGACCTTTAGAGAAACAGCATAGAGGCCCTACAAGAAGCAGGCAGAATGACCTAGGGAGGAGAGGATGGTCTAATCGGGCAAAACTACCGCCTAGGTAGGTAGGAAGATCATCTACGTCCACTCCAAAGTATACTCCCTAAGGACCCTAACCTATTTCTTCACCCTTGGATTTCGTCAATGTCACCTTTCAACCCGAGGCCGCCTCTTATCTAGTTTGGTAGCAAAAGTCACCTCCTAGCCATTTGATTTATTGCCCCGAGAAGTTGATCAAGATCACTGATACCATCAACAATCAAAAGATCACTCGGGAGCTAACTCATCAAGGTTGCATCCTTCCCAGTGATAGGAAATCCTCGACCGAGGGGCGAGGAGCAATGAGCAGATTGAAGTTTGATGAACATGACTTGGGAAAGAGGTGCCGAGGTATGGGTTGTCTACACTTTAAATCTTGTTTTTTGAAGTTAGGCAATGCTAACCATGGTGTTGTGTAGGCTCTTTTGGCAATCATCGGTCTCTACAATCGGGTTACAACCTCAGGACAAGCCCTCAAAGAGTTAAAACACGTAGAGGGATTAACTCATTAAAGAGAGGGACCAGGCCAAGGCTGAAACTCACAGCTTGGAGGCCCTCAAGGTGGAGCACCGGGAAGAGAACACTTAGCTTCAAGAGTGGTTGAAAAAGGTAGGTGAGGAGATGCACACCAAAGTTAAGAGGAAAGCATCACCATGGTTGAGATGAAGCTCGCTAATGTCAAGGCTAGGATGGAGACTATTGAGGGGTACGCCGACTAGGTAAAGGAAGAGATAGCTGAGGCCAAGGCCATTGGGGTGGTTGGGTACATGGCCTTTGAGCATTACAAGCAAGACATTTTGACTATGACAGTAAATCATACCTCAATGGGTTCTATGTTTGCCAGGAGTAGGTGCTGTCTAGCGATCCTTCCCAATTGGACAAGAACAAGCTTGACCCCTTTCTCGATGCTGAGGACAAGGTTATAGGTAAGAACAGGACCGGGGGCAGCGGTGAAGGGATAGCCAAGGCCCAAAGTTATATAGGCAACGCCAGCTCTGGTGGGGGCGTGGCCAAGGAGAGGTCTGGCACAACTGTTCATCTATTTTGTTTCAATAAGTTTATTTACCATCCAAAAATAAAAATTTTTCATGGATCACTCAACTCTTGTTGGTAGATGATGGTAAAAAATAGGGTTTCTCAAGAGTGATATATTGCAACTTGCAAAATCTGGTTTCTCATCTTTAATTGTTACCTTTGCTTCACCTCTCTCTCTCTCTCTGCTTGCTAAAGAATCAATATGAACACTTAGAACTTGATCAAATTCTAGTTGCAATCCATTTTCAGCCTCTGAACGATTTATATACTGTCTGAATTTTCCAAGCATTACTATTGTATGTTTTGTAGTACATAATCATAATCTAATAACTGTCAGGAAATCCTTTTACAAAGAACCTTTCTTTATTCATGTTTCATCATGAAATTCACACATTCAAGCTTCTTGACAAATACAAGCAGAACTTCTGGAGGAACTAACCTATGTTTTCCAGCAATAATAATACGGAAAACAAAGGTAAAGCCATGCCCACACCGATTTCTAAGGGGAAAATACAAAAAAGAAGAAATAATATACTAAAAGATTAAAAAATTGTAGCAGGCATGAGTACAATATCTAACAAGGTATCTTGCCGAAGAGATGATCATCATAGCTTCTCTAACATTAACCTCCATTCACATCTTGCATATCATCTTCAGTTTTCCAAACCACATCCTTTAGGCAGGTTGAAAGATTTTTATAGAACTGCAAGGAGGCATAGGTTAAAATATTTTTAGGAGAACCAGAAGCAATTTTTAGCAGGGATATTATGCAATGACAAATATACCTCTTTCGGTCTTTCCTACTGAATATAAGGGCATAGATGAATGATTTCAAATGCTTGTTGGTCTTTTATCCTTATGGTAAACCAAGGATATATTTAGAATAATCTAAGCTCAGAAATATTAACTACATGACTGAGCCAGAAAGGGGCCACTCAGGAGCCAAGGTATATATAACACACATCATTCCCTTTCCAAATTACCACTAATAGTCACAGTAGACGTGCATAAAATATTAATGATGGTTCATGAAACACAAGAAACAATGAATTGACCATCTCATCAATTGCTGACCCAATTCCTCATTTTCATCCAATGAATCAAGCAAATGGATATGGTTGTCGGGTGTCCATTTTGAACCTTTTTTATTTAGATTCTTTTTTACTGAATAAGGACAATTGCTTGGTGCAGTGGTAAAAATCTCAGGTTGACAAACATAAAGACATTGGTTCAAGTCTGAGATTGGATACTTTGTGCAGAAAGAAGAAAAAGAAAGAGAAAATGTCAAAGGTTAGGTCCATATCCAGTCTACCCCTCCCAAGACCCCAGATAGCTAGGAGCCTAGGACCAACATTGGGAAATTACCTTTTTCTCTAATGAAAGAGTTTTCTAAGGTAAAGTATTCTAGGATACCAATTTTAGGATGATTCTTGGGACCACCATTTTATTAATTCAAAGAGAACTGCTGTAAAACCGACTTGTGTTACTCATGACCCAGAAAGGGTTCAAATAGATTACAACCAAAGCACCAAAACTAAAACTAAATAAGCAGACAACTATGCCAGATCTATGTATGATTGTAATGCCAATTCAACGAGTTGGGATCTCCTACCAACAAAACACGTTCCAAGCCCCTACCAACTCCATCTAACACCGCATATCTCACCATTAGTCTGGGACCCACCATAAAAGTGGGATCTGACATGAATGAGATGTGTGGTATCAGATCATGTTGGTAGGGAGTTCAGAGTTGGAACGTGTTTTGTTGATAGGAGATTTGGACTCCAATTCAACATACCTCAAGATATCTTCCCAAAGTTGGAAAATGCCATTCTACCAAGTCTTACAAAAAATACAGAACACCCAATACCCATATTTCTCAACATATTTTAAGCTGCTATGTAGAATTTTAAGACGTCCGAGTTTCACCTTGAGATGGGTACACCAAAGATTCCAATCCAATATCGAGGCAATCTTTGGATGGCTTAGATCCTAGGGACAATCACCAAATTAATGACCTTCAGGATTGTCCTAATATTTACCTACAAAGAATAAGGAAACTCTGGATGTCAAGCGTTAAATGGCATAACTATTCAAGGTTAGGAAAGTGAAAGAATTAGAATTTGAGATCACCTTGTCCATCCGGTTCCTCAACATTGTTTCACAACTTGGTATCAAGATCTGATTAGAATTTGCAGTGGATGATTGCCTCTTGCTATCTACCCACTAGACATGAAGCTTTGTTCCTGGGGTGTTTATTTTAGGTGGTTCTAAAGGTGTTGAAAAGGTGATTTCAGAAACCAGATGAACACAGACACAAGAATCAGAATCTGACACGTCCAGGAGTCTGTCTTGGCAAGATGAAAAAAAGGACTTGTTGACATGTCTATAAACATATATAAACTGCAAAAATATTCCATATTTTGTTGAATTTTAACATTAATGCTAACCGTTCATTTATGACAAATAAGCAATAAGAGAAAGGAAAATGTCACATAGAAATGTACAACAATCCATGAAGTGTCTAGCAGACACTTCATGTACTTAAGAGAGTCCATGCAACACTGGCTATAACTAGACAATGTTTAACAGATTTTAAGAGAAGCAATTATTTCTTTTGAGTGCTTTTCCCTTGATGTTTTAGAGGTATTTGAGATGGATTAATAATCCACAAAGGATTTCCAAGAAAGAAAAAAAGAATCTATAATTTTTTTTGGGTAGAACTATTTTCACAAAAACAAAGTAGTCTCCATGAAATCAGAAACGTGAAGGTATACCACTTGTGACAAATGACAATGAAGGACTTAAGCTTATTAGTAACAATAGGTTATGACACACTGCACATCAAGAATTCTTCTCAAACTAAACTGGTATGACAGCAAACTCATACTATATCTCTAATGGAAGGAACTACTTAAATATCCAAAAATTACCATATACAATATGAAAACACAACTTACAACTGTATGCCATGTGATTAACTTCTCTATGTATCATGTATTTTTCTCCAAAACCAGAGGAAGAGGGTACCTTGTGGAACTCCAAAGTGTCTCCTTTCGCTTTTCGTACCTCAACCATATGAAGAGAAGGTGCCACCTGGAATACCTGAGCAAATGGAGGATATTGTAAGTATGTTTTTGTAATTGAAACAAATTTTGTAACTTCATTTTTATCCAGTATCTCTGTTTCAAATAAATACCTCTGTAGCGACATTCAAGTTTCCCTTCCTACCTGCTTTTATATTTTCCAGCCTCATCTGAAACAAAGCATATACTTTTTAATGACACAGATTGGGTCTATGAATATTATCTTACAGGAAGTTCCAACTGGGCATGTAATATATGGCATACACTTTCCTTACCTTGTAGTTTTTCTTGTGAACATCAAATCCAAGAGGTTTTGCAGCTTCTTCAATCTTATTGATAATTTCATCTGCAGGAGATTTTGATGTAAATCTTGTTTCCCTCTTGAATTCCTGTCCAGATGAAATAAATCTTAAATAGTAACCCAAGCATAAGAAATAAAAATGAAATACTGTTAACAACTTTCTGGAAAAAATAGAATCTTAAAAGTTTGTCTTTGAACATGGTTAAAATTCAATCAATGAGCAGAGATCATGTAAAGATGTCAAATATCATGGGTACAGCTTCATATATTAGAACACAAATGATTCATCTGATAAGCTAACCAAAAAATAATCAATATATTTGATTGTCTCCAACTAAAGACATTTGGACTTTCTTTTTCACTGTTCATAAGCCGTTGCATTAAACAAAAGTCACCCCAACGAAATTAAAATGAAGATAATGATAGATATAAATCCCCCATTCCTTCAGATTCATCTGAAAATTTACATAAAATCCCCTATAGGCAGGACCAGTTTTCAAAGCTCCACATTGCTGAAAAAATTGACACGGGAAAATGAGGATATCTCAAGGATATATCATACTTGAAATAATGGAAAATATGAATAAATAGGGAAAACATTAATAGGAAATTGACAAACTAGTAGATGTGCATAACTAGTGACATAAAGATAAGATCCATCAAAACCCAAAATATAGCTATCTAAATTTTTTGTTTTTCATTTTTACAAGGTATAAAGTGTATTAAACAGAAAGGGCCAATTACATTACTAGAAACCATGGGCTGCTTATTTTCTTCTCTTTTACAATTTTCTTGGATTAGCAACAGAAAAACATTTTATTGTTAGATAAATCTAAACTCTAAAAGAACGTAAGTAAATACCCTAAAGATTTGCAATAGAAAGATGATCATAGGCATTGTATTTGTGTCATTTTTAAGAATGCCTCTCTAAGGGAAAACATAGAAATACAGAGAAAAACTACATATTAAATTTTTACATCATGACTAATGTTGCTTTACAAACCAAATTTTACAAAGGCCAGAAGAAACCCTAATTTATCTGCAGATATCTTCCTCTCCTTCCCATTGTGGGATCTCTAATAGCCACTCTCCCTCTACCTCACTAGTTTAGAAGAATATGTGCAATTATGGGATTGTCTTAATTTTATGTACTTATTTGTATTTTAGAATAGTGGAGTTGCCTTAGTTATTTCACATGTTAGCATTTGTAATGGTCTTAGGGATGTTTTGGTCATTTTGCAGGTTCCTTGTAGGATCATGTACACGAGTGATTCTTCTAGTCATATGTTGGGACCCAAACACTCCCTCCGAACCCAACTATAGGAGTGGAGCAGGCCACCACCGAGCAGCATTTCACTAGAAGACAGAGAGGCTAGCATGACACGCGGCAAAGCCTCCCGGAGTTAGTTACACTGCCACCAGAAGATATTCTCTCCATGATTGCATACATGTAGGCCAACTATATAAGGCCCTGATCATGTAATAAGTGGCGTGAATGAGTATCCCTTTCATCTCTCTCTCTGAGTCATTTTCTTCCTACCTTTCCCCTTTCCCTCCCATCTTCTGTTTCAGGAGGTTAAGCCACCCTTGAAGGGGCTTCCGAGGTGAATGGTAACTCATCAAATTAGTATCAGAGCCAGGCTATTCAAATCCCAGGCTTTCACGATGCCACAAACACGTTCCACTACCGTGGATGAAAGGGTCGACCAACTTGAGGTTGGATTTCACCAGGTGTTGAACGAACTCAAGGAACTCAAAGTGGTCGTCTCCAGCTTCGTCTCTCAACAATAGTTTGGCGAGACCAGTCACCTAGCAGGAGCGGAAGCCTCTGCTTCTAGTAGCCAAAGAACAGGGGATTACCCCACTGGAAAAGTCACTAAGATCAACTTTCCCAACTATTCCGGTGGAGATCCCATTCCTTGGATCTTCTGAGCAGAAAGATATTTCGAATACCACGAAACTCCCGCACACCAACATGTCTCCATCACCTCCATTCATCTAGAAGGAGACGCAATTCTATGGCTCCAGTGGTATCGCCGGAATCATCCCCAAGTAACTTGGGCGGAGTTCACCGAAGCTTTGTGCATCCGCTTTGGGCCGACGGTGTTCGTGGACTACAACGAGCTGATCACCCGGTTGAAGCAGACTGGAACGGTAGCAGAGTACCAGCTCGAGTTCGAGTGGATGGCAACCAGGGTACACAGTTGGCCGAAGAAAGCCTTAGTAGGATGTTTTATGGGAGGTCTCAGAGAGGATATCCGTCTGGAGGTGAGGACTCTCCGTCCGGCGACTGTCATGGCTGCGGTGGGATTGGCTTGCCTGCAAGAAGAAAGAATTGACAACCTTCGTAAAGCTACCAAACCGACCTGCCTGAATTTGAGGACTCCTCCACGGGTCGATCAGCAGTCCATGAAACCGGCTAGGGATCATCAGAAGCCCATATTGCCCCAGCCCACTATGCCCTTCAAACGTCTCTCATGGGCTGAGATGCAAACCCGATGCGAGAAAGGCCTTTGTTATAACTATGATGATAAGTTTGGACCGGGCCATAAATGCCGGGTCCAGCGGGTGTTTCTCCTACACACAGAGGAAGAGCCGAAAGAGACAGACCCAAAGCACTTAAATGATTGTGAACTAATTCCAAACGGACCAGAACTTGACGGGGCCGAGATCTCGTTACACACCCTCATGGGCCTCAACTCTCTTCAATCCATGCACGTAGAAGGAAGATTGGTGGGCCAGACCGTGATGGTTTTGATTGATAGTGACTCTACCTTGAATTTCATCACTTGCCGTTTGGCTAAGCAGCTAGGTATGACCATACAACCCACTCCTCTCTTTTCAATCAATGTGGCTAATGGGAGTCAGATGTCGTGTAATGGTGTATGTAAGAAGGAAAAAATCCTCATACAGGGCCATAATTTTGTGGTGGATCTCCACCCATTAGATTTCTCGGGGGCTGATATTATTTTGGGGGTTCATTGGTTGCGTGGCCTGGGCCCTGCTCTATGTGATTGGGCCAAAATGACAATGGATTTTCACTAGGACGGCCAATCTTGTCATTTACAAGGGGTGCGGCCCCCTAGTCCACAAAGTGACACTTTAGCCTCCACGGTACGGGCCTCCAAGGGTGTTGGCCAACCCATATTTAGGCACTTAGGCCTTCGGCCCATAGTCCCAATTTTAGACAACCAGCGCTGTGTTCACCCCATAGAAGCCCAACACAAGGCCTTATGATCGATACTCGATCAGTTTGGCGATGTATTCAAGGAGCCGAACCAATTACCTCCACCCCGGGCTCGTGATCATCAGATACCTCTCTTACCCGGTTCTAATCCGACCAATGTGAGGCCATATAGATACCCTTACTTTCAGAAGCTGGAAATTGAGAAGGCAGTGAGAGAACTATTGGAAAAAAGGCATATATAGACCAGCACCAGCCCTTTTTCATCTCCTATACTCTTAGTAAAGAAGAAGGATGGTAGTTGGCGCTTTTGCGTAGATTACCGGGCCTTGAATCAGATTACTGTGAAGGACAAGTTTCCTATACCCCTCATTGACGAACTACTGGATGAGTTAGGAGAGGCACGAGTGTTCTCCAAATTAGACCTACGGTCCAGGTATCATCAGATTCGGGTCCACCAGGCTAACATCCACAAGACGACCTTTAGGACCCACGATGACCATTATGAGTTTTTGGTTATGCCTTTTGGACTCACAAACGCCCCCTCCACCTTTCAGGCCCTCATGATTGACATCTTCAGGCCATTTCTAAGGCGATTTATTCTGGTGTTTTTCGATGATATTCTGGTGTACAACAGGGATTGGGACACACATATGGAACATCTGAAACTCACCCTCACAACTCTAAAGGGGCTAATGTTACATGCCAAAATGACAAAGTGTTCCTTTGGACAAGGACAAATTCAGTACTTAGGCCATGTGGTTGCAGCAGGTCGGGTCATGGAAGACACAGAAAAGGTAGACGCCATCCAGAAGTGGCCCAAGCCCACTACTGTAAAGGCTCTGCGGGGCTTTCTTGGGCTTACCGGATATTATAGGCGCTTCATTAAGGGGTATGGGCTTATGGTTGCCCCTCTAACGCGTCTATTAAAGAAGGATTCCTTCAGTTGGACTGATAAAGCCCAACAGGCTTTTGAAGACTTGAAGACAACAGTTTCCAACCCTCCAATCCTCACTCTTCCAGACTTCTCTCAGCCCTTTGAAATAGAATGTGATGCGTCGGGTGTAGGAGTAGAGGCTGTCTTGATGCAAAAAGGGCAGCCCATTGCTTATTTCAGCAAGGTTCTCTCAGCAGCTCACCAAAGTCAGTCCACTTATGTCAAAGAAATGATGGTTGTGGTCATGGCAGTGCAAAAGTGGTGTGCATACCTATCGGGATGCCAATTTGTTATTAGGACAGACCAACGAAGTTTGAAGTACATAGCAGAGCAAAGGGTGCACACCCCGGAGTAGCAAAAATGGCTTAGTAAACTGATGGGCTTTGACTACCTCATAGAATATAAGCCGGGGCCCGCAAACAGAGTAGCTGATGCCTTGTCACGAGTAGAAGAGTTAGCCCATCTGACTTGCTCTTAGCCCAGCTTCCCTTTGTTTGAAGCTATACAGCAAGAAGCCAGGTCTGATCCACAGTTGCAGGTCATTAGAGATAAGTGGAGGCGAGACCCTTCACAAGTTGCTGATTACCAAGTTGTGGGGCTTGATCTTTTCTTTAGGGGTCAGTTTGTTGTTGCCCAGAATTCGGCCCACAAAGCTAAACTGCTAAGTTTGTTTCATGACTTCGCCTTAGAAGGGCACTCAAGGGTGCTACAGACCCTAAAGAGGCTCAGCAGCCACTATCATTGGGTAGGAATGCATAAGGATGTATTACAATATGTATCCGAATGCCAAACCTGCCAACAGCAGAAATACTCGTCACAGTCTCCCGCTGGCCTTCTACAACCTCTCAAGATTCCAGATCAAGTGTGGGAAGACCTTTCCATGGACTTCATCRYGGGTCTTCYTCGTTCWRCARGAAAGGAGGTTATCATGGTAGTGGTTGACCGTCTCACCAAGTATAACCATTTCTCTGCATTACCTCACCCTTACACCGCAGCAATGGCGGCTAACATCTTCATCCGGGACGTCGCCAAGCTGCATGGAACCCCAAGATCCATTGTCTCAGATCGGGACCCTGCTTTCCTAAGTTCATTCTAGAAGGAATATTTTCAGTTGCAAGGAACCCAACTGCATCCCTCCACGAGTTATCACCCGTAGACTGATGGGCAAACTGAAGTTCTTAATCATTGCTTGGAAGCCTACCTTAGATGTTTCATAGGGGAAAAGCCTCAACAGTGGGTTCACTGGCTTCCGTGGACAGAATACTGGTACAATTCAACTTATCATCCGGCTATTGGAATGACACCCTTCAAAGCTCTTCATGGCAGAGAACCTCCTCCCATATTACCTTACGAATATGGGTCATCCAAGGTGGCAGAAGTAGAGACCCGTCTAATTGCGAGAGACGAGATTCTTAGATTGCTTAAGTCCAACTTGACAAAAGCCCAATAGCGAATGAAGGCCCGCTATGACACTCACCACCGCCCGTTAGAATTTCAGGTGGGTGACTTCGTTTACCTTAAGCTCCAACCTTACCGCCAGATCTCAGTAGTAAGACGGGCTTGGCACAAGCTAGCACTCAGGTATTATGGGCCTTATAAGGTACTGGAGACAGTGGGCCTTGTTGTTTATCGGTTGGACCTCCCTGCAACCTCAAAGCTTCATCCAGTGTTTCACATCTCACTTCTTAAGAAGGCGGTGGGAAATCATACACCTATCTCACCCAACTTACCCCAATTCACTGAAGAAGGGGACATTGACACGGAGCCTATCAGAATTGTGGATTTCCGTTGGGTTCGACGAGGTGGTCAGGTTGTGCCAGAAGCTAAGGTAGAATGGGCTTGGCTTCCTCCAAATGATGCCACTTGGGAACCTTATCTTAGGCTGAATGAGAGGTTTCCAAACCTAGACCTTGAGGGCAAGGTCAATGCTAAGGGGGGAGGAATTGTTGGGACCTAAACACTCCCTCCAAACCCAACCATAGGAGTGGAGCAGGCCACCACCGAGCAACATTTCACTAGACGACAGAGAGGCTAGCGTGACACGCGGCAGAGCCTCCCAGAGTTAGTTACACTGCCACCAAAAGATATTCTCTCCATGATTGCATACATGTAGGCCAGCTATACAAGGCCCTGATCATGTAATAAGTGGCATGAATGAATATCCCTTTCATCTCTCTCTGAGTCATTTTCTTCATACCTTTCCCCTTTCCCTCCCATCTTCTGTTTCAGGAGGTTAAGCCACCCTTGAAGGGGCTTCCGAGGTGAGCAGTAACTCATCATCATATCAGTTATGTTTAACTTTAAAAAGGGAATTTTGCTGATCCTATATGTGTGTGTATGTTTTGAATTAAAAACATGGATAATGATATTCTATGTGAAAGTTTCCTTATTGTTGCAATGGTAAGTGATTCCTATAAACCTTCGAGTGATTCTAGGTGCTTGTTGAAACACTTTGGGTTTCAATTATTCTTTCATTCTCTTACTTCCTCTACAAGTTTACTATTCTAGCATCAATCGGCCATCAAAGACCTGGTGAAAAGACTTACCAAGCATTCATCAACAATTCAACATTCATAAATTGATAAAAAATTAATTCAACATTCATAAAGGTTTAATATTGATCCCAAATACATTTTTTCATCAATTTTCTCAATGTGTAAAATTTCCCATCTCATTGGTTTCATCTTTGTAACAAACCACCTACTGGTCCTACCAAACTTCATCCCAAAACTCTACCTAGAACCCTAGTTTCCATAATCTTTCAGCTTTTCTTTACAAAGAATATTTTATAATTATGTACAAAATCTACTCAGGACTTCCAAAACTAGTTGCCCTTGCAAAATTTCATTGAAAAAAGTTTAACCATAAACCTATTTTTCTCAACTTGAGCTTTTCATAGTTTTGGGGCAAACTTGCAATTGGTGATTAAACCTTAAGACCCTTCCTATGTATCCCACCTATTCTAATGACTGCACTAATGGAATGAACCTAGTGTAAGAAGAAGTCTCTAACAAAGTATGTGGAAAACCAAAGAAACATGAGTTTAATTGGTAAAAAATGAAGGAAACATGGCTCTTGATAGAGTAAAATGGCATAACTGCATTCATAAGCTGACCCCAAATAGTTTGGATCAGTACATTTAAAACCAACCTGGAAACAAAGCCTCTTTTCCGTCCAGGTGGCAGGTCAATGGTTCAACCTCTGACATCATAAATTAAATAAAAAATATATAAAAACGGATAAAAATGCAGAAAACATAGAAAATTACAGAAAAATGGGCATGCCTCTAATATTATATATTCATCATATTAAACAAAAATAAGTGTGATAAATGAGAATAATTGTCATTAATGATGGAAATGGATAAAAATAAAAAGAGGAAAAATAGAATAAATATCTAACCCATGAGGCCATGACTCACTCAGTGGGTCAAAGGTTCAATGGTTCAACCATCCACGTCACTGGGTCATTACCGAGTCAACAACTTTTTTTTTGCAAGTGAAGGGTTCAGGGGTGAAACAGACCCAAAAATCTGGCCGGTGATCAGTCAACCAGTCCAAAACTTGATGGTTCGACTGCAGGTTGTAAACATTGGTTGGTATTAGGGCTGAGTCAGTTGTGTTCAGCTTAATTGAAGTGAATAATTGCACGGTCTTCAAACAACAACCACATTACTAACATAGACTCAAGAATTTACTTGTATATTAGGAAGGGGACTTTTTTTGGATCAACACAAACAGCACCCTATTCCATGTAAGAAAAAGAACACTTTTGTATGTATACAGCTTTTTGGAACGCGATCAGCTAACCATATAGAAATACTCGAAGCATGCAAACCTGTTCTATCTCAAACAAATTTCCGAGATTAAGCCCCTTTGACATAGAAATAAGTTCAAATGCATTCATAGCAGTTGGCTTTTCTTCTTCCTTCTTCTCTGTCACATGATGTTCCTGGTAGAGTGCAAGAAAAGTATATGTTACAAAGAATATCTACTTCAAAGTACCTAAGATAATTTATTTTTCATAACACCATTGTAACTTCTAATAGAAATTTGTCAAGGCACATATTAGACTCACTTCTGAGTCCTTGAAAACAGCTTCTACATCATCCAAGTTTGTATCATCTTTCTCCTCAAACACTGGGGGCTTAAAATCTTTCTTAAACCATTCATCCTCCAATATTTCTGGTACAGTAATGCGCTGTAAATGGTAAACTTAATTAATATTTCTAGTCTAGAAAGGTAAAACAACTAAAAAAATATTTCCCACACATAAAATGACAGACAGGGTGTCTTGCATGATATAAAGGAAAATCGTGTGACACTCCTAGATATACACACAAAGCTGGGATATCTCTATATTATGAAAATTAAATTTAATACATTACCCAAGATGTTGATTACTTGCAAGACATTCGAATGAATTTTTAATTAACAAACATCAAAAGGTAAAGTATAATGATTAATTTTCTTTTCTTTTATAGCAAAGTAAACTTTGGTAAAAAAGAAAACAAAATCTACCAAAAAAAAGGTGTTTAGAGACGAAAACATAGAAATTCCAAAAGTGTCTCACTATGAGACTACACAAAAATCATGTATATGGCTATACATAATCAACTATGATATCCAAATAATTACAAAAGTTCTGACCAAAAGAGCATCTCACTCTAATCTCCCTCAATTCTATTACTCCTTCATTGATTTCATAATTTTTTGATCAATTTGGTTGATTCCATAGTCGATACCTTAGAGCCTCTTGTTTCATTTTATTCATGATTGCTTTGTTTGTATACTATTTGGAGTAATGTCCTGTTATTAAATTTTAGGGACTGTGTTCCCTATTTTTTCTCCTCTAGACACACAAAACTTGTGGTTACAGACGACTACTACACTTAAAAGTGTGTACATATGAATCATCACATATGCATAAATAGATGGAACTGAGAAAACTCAAATTGACGCCTCTGAAGGAGGAATTCTGTCTAGAAACCTATTCAGTACTTAGGTAGGGCAAAAAGTCTGCATAAATTGCATGCAAAATCTTGAAAGATTAATGCAGGTAAAGTGGCATTGCTACTTGAATATAAAATCTAATGTGATAAATATGGCAACAGTAGTAATGCCTTTGATAGTAATGCAGTGAGAAGATTGATCTTCAACTGGACATTACATGGAGCAGATGGTAATTTTGACCAAAAAAGTGGATACTACAAAATTTTTACACAAGCTCACTAGCCTAAAAGAATTATTCTCTTATACAGCTAGAATTGTTAATTTTGATTTTTGCATGTATTTTGAAATTCATGCACCTAACTTGACATGAGGTTGGAAGAAAACTTTTTTTTTTTTTGATAGATAAAAAATTCAATTGATTTCATTAGAAGCAAATGATAAATAGTCCATTACAAGCATCCCAAGGTTGGAAGAAAACTTTTGTTAAATATATTATATAATAAAACTAATTTTTATTACAAAACATAGAGAACAGAGATGGATTTATAAAATCGTTATGAAGAACAAGTGAAGGGGTAAACTGAAATTTCTTCTTATTAGCCCATGCCATCAGGTTCTAGCCCAACATCAGAGATGCCAAAATAAAACTTTTAGGTGGAGTGTATTTTTACAATGCTCAAGTGGTTGCATGCACAAAAATACCAACTATGAGAAATCAACAGGTTCACATATGATATCTGAACATAGAATTAATCAAAGTTGGTATCTATAAATGGGAGTGGAAGATAGAGTGATCCAAAGAAATGGCAAAAGATCCCAATGTAGCACATTTAAGAGATAAACGTGCATATAACACCAGTAAGCTAGCTACATTCTCAACATTATAATTAAAAAAAAAATAATTAAGTGGAACTCCTTACAGTCATAGGGTTGGGGTCCAAGATTCGAGATATTAATTTCATTGCACTTAAAGAGAGCCAAGGTGGACAAGTAAATTCAGCAGCTGAAATCTGCATGGACAGAAAACAGATCTAATAAACAGGAGTGGAAGCAGAACAAGAGATGGACCATAAAATTCGTAAAATGCTCACTTTTTTATATAGGGTCATAAGATTAGAATCATCAAAAGGCAAGTAACCTGCAAGCAATACAAATAGGATGACCCCACATGACCACAAGTCTGCAGTTGCACCATCATAGCCTCTATCATTAAGGACCTAATCAGTGGATGAGGGAAAATTATTCTAATGGCTTTTAAATTAAAGAGAAGCAAATGACTTCATAGTAGCATAAGATTATATAGAAAAAAGTCTGGTAAAACCTCTGGGGCAACATAGTTTGGCGTTCCACAGGTGGTGTGAAGCAGGCCATCATCCTGTCAAAAACAAGCTTGTCAAATAGGATAAGTATTGCCCAGTAAGCACATGTAAAAGAGAACTAAAATAAAAAAACTTACAAGAATTAGTGAACAAGAATTCAATTTAGAAAATTATTGACGTGCATGAGGAATTCTAGTGAGTTGAGATTATCAAGAAGAGAGAAGGATCAAAAATAAATTATCAAGAAAAAATGGTTAATAGTTATTTACATTAAGAGATGTAGTAGTAGTAGTAGTAGTAGTAGTAGTAGTAATAAGCTATCTATCAAAATAAATTATTAGCCACTATGACTGGAAACAATTCTTCTATTTATTATCATATTTTGACACATTATACCTTATATGATGATCTAGTGTTTTATAGCAGAGGAGGTCAAACACACAGACCAACATAGGAACAAAAGTGGAATTGAATTCATCTATAAGAAAATAATGGAAACACAGAAAGAATCATATAACCTATAATTACCCTGACTTGTTGGGATAATGCACTTAATCCAAAATCAGAAACTTTAAGATTACCATATGCATCAAGTAGTAAATTTTCTGGCTGCAAGAAATATGAAAAGGTAAAAGAAATGAATATCTGTTTCTGCCAAGATAATTGGACCATCAAATAAGTAAATTTCTAAAGATGCTTTGAAGTATGCAGAAAGTAAAGCAACTTACCTTCAAGTCTCTATGATAAACACCTCTACTATGGCAATAATCAACAGCATTAATGAGCTGCTGGAAATACCTTCTTGCTTCGTCCTCCCTCATCCGTCCATGGTTGACCTTGACAAATGCAAAAAAGGATCCGCATGTTAGTTATATATTATATGTAGTACAAGAATTGATTGACATAAGCAAAAAATAAAAATAAAAATGCATTTCTTGCATAAGAATAGCTTAAATATCACGGGTTATACATGGAATTGGAATGAGCAAGTGATAAAATAGATTATGAGGTACCTCTTTAGCTGGGTTAGGACAGTCTCCTCAAGGACCCAAGACATAGAACCCCAAAAAAGTAGCCACAATGATAAAAACACAAATAAAAATAAATAGAAAAGAAGTTCAAAACTTACAATCTTGTCAAAGAGCTCTCCCCCAGTAACAAATTCTAGAACAATAAAAATCTTTGTCTTGCTTCCCATTACCTGAGAAAATGCCATTTATTAGAGAAAGCACCAAAAGGCATAACAGTTAACGCATTGTCCTGTTTCATATTGCTTACATTATTCCCTTAGGCTCAGTTTGGAAAGAGTACAAATGCAAATATGTACAGTGCAAATACATATAAAATAGTACAAAATATAAGGTTTTGCACTCTGTTGAGCAAGAGCAAGTGAAGAGAGGAGAGGAGAAGAGAGAAGAGAGGTGAGTCGAGTGACTGAAAGCCCTCCAGAACTTAGGGGGCAAAAGAATGATTTTATTATTTATACTAGTACA